GATTTCTCCCATTAAACTGGGGATTTCTCTCATTAAACTGGGGATTTCTCTCATTAAACTGGGGATTTCTCTCATTAAACTGGGGATTTCTCTCATTAAACTGGGGATTTCTCTGTTTCTCACCCTTTCTGCATGCGCAGCATCTTGTCTCCATACTTCTCCCTCAGCTGGGTGTGGATGCTCTCATCAATGCGCATGGGGTACATGGTGAGGGCGATGGCCAGGAGGCCGTGCATCTGCTCGTTCTGTTTGTTGATCTAAAAACAGGGTTTTAAACATTTACTCAGTTTAGAGCAGAAACCATTAAAAACACTACAGCGGTTTTCTGCATTACCATCTCGTATTTATACGTGGACCTCTGGAACATGTTCCTCGTCCTCTGGATGTAGAGCAGGATGTTGGCGAAGACTCGAATGGCGTCCTGGTAGCGGCGCATCATCAGATAGGCGAACCCCACRTAGTAATACGTGGTGATCTGACACTCGGGGACCCGTGAGTACATGCTCTACAAGACAGGACGAGAGGGAGGAGTTCACTCTGCAGCTCTTCATCAGGGTCAGAGTCAGAGCTCAAACTGTCAGAGGAGAAAACAGAACCTGCAGCAGCTCCCGTGTCCAACCAGTCGAGATGTGAAGTTTAAAAAACTGACGAGAGAACTTCAGTCATGCTTAAATAAAATACTAACAGATTCTGATCTGATAGCTGTTTAATGAGGAGGTAATGCTAACAGCTAAATAACATTTAAATCAGAAAATCATTAAATTATTAAACACAATTCATATCAGACAAAGTTCTGTTCCTGAGATCAAACCTACGTGACGATGTCTCAGAGTTTTATATTAAATGCCTGAATGTGACTCATCACATCAAACTCAGCATTAAATCTAAATTCAATCTAATGAAGATCGTTTTTGGTCACTTTAAAAAAGAAACTTCAAACAATATTTAAGATTTATCAGCTGGAAAGATAGAAAGTGTTTTGCAGGAAAAATATCAAAAACTAAGCTTTTCTGCTCAAATGTGTTTTTGTAGCTTCTGCTCAGAAAACAGCTTCAAAAATACATTTAAAATTATATTTCAGATATTTCATTTAAACTGATTCAGGAGGTATTTATTCATTTTAGTTTTGATAAAATGCAATCATTGCAAACAGTTAAACCGAAGATATTTTAACTGTTTTCTACACTACGAGCAACTTTTATTAAAAACTGGGGCTGTGAAATTAATCGCTTTAACTCTGATTAATTTTAGAGCAGCATGGGCATAGATTAAAACTTTTAATCATGATTGAAATTTACAATCACTTTACTATGTAGGTTGGTTTACTGCAATGCACTCAGTGCCAGGTCATGATTGTAAATGAAGTGGTTCTCAAACAGTTTACCTGGATAAATAAAAGGTTAAATAAATAAAATAAATTTTAAAAACTCCATGTGTAAC